GATTTTGGACCTTCAACTTGTTTTTGTTTTCTCACTCTGGTGGCCCCAATGTTAACGAGGGAGAACGAGGGCAGCAAGAAAAGTGTGCGCAAAGTGGTGCAGGATTTTGTCCATCAACAGTAGGAGATGGTTTGTACCATTACACATGTCACATGCCAAACACAGACACCAAAAGGCCGTCACTAAAGCAGCGAACGTGCAGACTGGGCTTCCAAGCCCAGCGCCAGGCTCTTGGAGGTGATTCTGACCGGCGAGGTGGCGGGGTGGTTGCGGGTGAAAAGCCGCCGTTGCGGGTGCTGAGGAAGAGATTCGCTCTTAGGTTGGAGGCCTCCGCTTAGTCGGTTGGAGGCCATCGCTTAGTAGGTTGGAGGCCTTCGCTTAGTCGGTTGGAGGCCATCGCTCTTAGGTTACTGAGGAATGAGATCCAACTCTAAAACCACTGAATTGGTGTGTCAGATCGTTCGGTGGTGGACTCGCCCAACAGTCTCGGTGCGAACCAAACATCGGTGTGGAGAGAACCAGTGCCGGAGACTTCGCGGCCGTCACTGGACAAAACCCCAATGATGTTTGACATCAATGATGAGTCGCTTAATCATGCCAATGATCATAATGTTTGACATGATTTGACTTCAATGATTAAAGCGAGAACTTGCCTTTAAACAATCTCAATGATTCAAGTGCAGGAGAACAAACACATCGCCTTGCACGATTTCTCTTCCAGTATATCGTATGCAGTTGATAGCATGCCTTGCACTGAATGGACAAACCTTGAGATGAGCACCACATTGTCTGACATCGTCAAATCTCTCCTTAGCAAACTAACATTTGGATACATGGGTGTGGGTCAAAACCAAGCTACCTGGGTTGACACAAAATGAACAGAACAGAATGGACTACCCAAGGAGGTCAACCTATGGTTTGGGGATCCGGGTGCCATGACCCACAACCACATTGGTTTGAAACAACTTCGGGCAATAACTCTCCACCACTCCCGGCCCACCCCAGCTGCCTGACGTCCAGTCTCCTCCCCCAACCCGTCCGCCTGGGTCGTCGGAAGTCCAACCTGAAGCGCGCGAGTCACGAGCGAGTCACGAGCGAGTCTTTCATCCTCGTGGCGGTCGGTGGGTGAAGCTGGTGTCCACCACTCCATGGGGTGAGGTGCCAAACAGACGGTCCAAGGAATCCATAGGACCAAACACTCCAAGGAATGGGTTTTGGTCGGGGGTGTAGTAGTAGGTGTATATATAAGTAGATTTCATTGCATTTGGGTCTGATAACATTTCATTTGGGTCTCAAGATATCGGTGTATCAGTGGGACAAGGTGGATCATGAACATGTACATGTAATGTGGATCTGCCGGCAGCAGCTGGTGGCTCAATTTTTTCAGACCAGCGCTGGGTCGGATCCAGAGTCGTTCGGGACTTAGCAAAATTCAAAGCAGGCGAATCACTTGGCCATCACGCAAGGACATTTCATGTCCCATGAAATAGAGAGGTTTTCCTTAGGACATGGAAGACTAGACGGAATGCTGTCTAGTCTTTTTGAATCTCAATTCTTCAAATACATCACTCGTTGCGCGGCTATGTGCAGTTGTGTTTCTTGGCATAATCTCCTAGACAAATGCTAGCAGATACCAGCTGTGACAAGTGTTCAATTGCACTGTGGTTTTGGTTTGCAGCACAAGATTAAGACACCTTCGCTTCTTTGAAATAAGCAATTCTCCATGCTTTCTGTAGAACTCTTGAGTTCTCGAGGGCCTCAGAAGAGGTCCAAAATCAATCAAGGAGAGGAGAGGAAAAACATAACATCATTCAATGAGTCATGAGTCATGATTGAATTAAATTAGTTGAGAAACGCCGACAGGGAAAGCACTGGCAATGCTACTGTATTTCAAGCCATTGAGTCCATTTGGCTTCGTCCATTGGAAGTAGACTCCAACAGGCTTGGGCTTGATCAGGAAGTTGTCCGTTCCTGAGGCAGGATGGACATGTAACAAATGGATGCCAAAAGGGATGACGAGTAGTAGGTTTGAACATTCATTGTCATGCAGTTGTCAAGATGCAAAACTGGTAAGTCCTGGACCATCCTCGCCAGCCGCGGCAGGTGGCTTGTCGCATTCATGTCCGTTGATGGTAAAATCAACGAGCCCCTCTTCCTCGAAATCATGCAGCACTTCTTGCCATGTAGAAAGCTCCGTATCAGTGGTGCTTTTACCCTGCACCACTTCCAGCACCACAGGATCCTGATCGCTGTTCCATACAGCTTGCATCACACGGTCCAGTTCGCCTGACCCAGGCTTTAGTGTGCATCCAGCGCATTGAATGTTAGCAAAAACATCGCCCAACATGCTAGTCAGGCCACTGATTTTTCCTATTGCTCCCATGTGATCTCGACTGACTCTTCCAGGCTGACGTGGTGAAAACCACGCCAGGTCTAAGGATGAAACTCGTACACATCCCACTGCTCACAGTGGGCCAAAATTGAACTAGTTGCCACAGCAGTTCGGGGCATGTCCCAGACCAAGCTTGGAGAGTGCTAAATACCAGATGCGATGTTTGAGAATGTTTGAGACAGAGAGTTTTAAACAAGACACTAACCCTTTGGCCGAGGCATTGTCACTGACTGCTCCAAAACCCTTAAAATTATGACTGGCTCTGTGCACTCCTAGGATTCGCCACTCTCAGATTCAGAAGCATCAGGTTCGCTGGGATCCTGGTCGGGCTCCTGATCATCTTCAGAGTTCTCCATCTCCTCAGCGCCATCCGCAGCTGGAGGGGCTTCCTCCACAACCTCAGACTTGTTGACCTTCAGCCTCCGTCGGCTCAGTTCACTCTTGCTCATGTTCTTGATGGAGCTGACCCGATCCGGATGATCCCTCCACCTCAGCTGTCCGCTCAGATCATCTATCACCAGTTTGGACATGAAAGGTCTGCTTCATGTTTCCAAAATACAGTGAGCACTGAGAGCCCGCTAAGTCCAATACTCTTTGCGAGCAAGTGCAAGAATTTCCTTCGGCTTTAGGCTAGGATTTTCCGCCTTCAGGCGGACTGAGGCCTCCTTGATGTGAACATAGTAGTTTTCACGAAGGCCAACGTCCAGGAACGCCAGCCTGGCAAGTAAGTAGTGAGGGTGAGTACTTCTCAACACTAAGCAGAGAGGGTAGATACTTATTGCAATGCTTTTCCAAGTTTACTGACTGACTCTTAATCAGGTTTTTGATGAGTTCCAACTGCAGCCCCGTCTTATGCAGTACTCTGACTCTGAGGTGCATGGCCTTGCGCTTCTTGGTGCTCTTCTTTGCATTCGATTCCTGAGGCAGCTCGGGGAAGGTGGAGAGGAGTGTGCTTTCAGAGTTGAAGCTCTAAGCTCTAGAGGAGTATGTCTCAGAATCTGGAAGCTGTATTTGAAAGCTGGGTGTTTTGGCATTGGCAAGAATTGGAACTGGATGCAGTCCTGACCGAGAATGAGCGTTGAAGCATCGGAGTCGTCATCCTGGTCAGCAGCATTCTCAGCACTCTTCGCCTCAACATCATTGTTCTTGTCTTTCTTTGATTTTTTGTCTCTGGAAGCTTTGGCCTTTGGTTCTTTTTCGGTACGACGAATGGCCCTTGCAGCCCCGGACAACTTTGGAGCAACCTCTTTTGCTTCGCTGACTTCAAGCTTTGCAGCTGCCCTTTGCTTTTTCTTGTCCTGATTGCCTCCTCGAGGCGCCCTGGTGGTTTCCTCAGGACGGCTTGCATTGCCCTCTTCCTGGGCCATGTTTTCCTGAACCACTTCACCTCGACTTCCTTGTCCATTTTTCTCCATCATCCTGTTTGTGCCCTCATCATTGTTGGTCTTCGCAGGCTCATGCGCTTCCTTGCTCTCATTGCTCTCAGCCTTATGTTTCTTCTTGGCATTTTCCTTGCTTTGGTTCGGTTGCTTCTTTTCAGGATCCTGTTTGTCTTGACCCTGATCGATGGGTGCTGCCTGTTTGGCATCCGCGGCAGACTCGTTGCTCACATCATGGTTTGTCTTGGCATCTTGGGATCCTGTCCTGTGTCGCTTGATGTCGTCAAGCAAGGATTCCATCTTAGCCCGAAGTTGGGGCGGCAGTCCCTCAATGTCCACCTCCATCTCCAGGTCCCTTGACGAACCCTTTTCTGGTGGCACCTCATCCTTTTCTTTCTCTTCCTTATCATGCTTTCCTGAACTTGCATGCTTCTTTGGTGCCGGCTTGGTTTCTTCACTCTTCGTCCCCTTCTCCTTGGTTGGTGCTTTCGTCTTGCTTTTCTTGTCCTTCTTTGACCTTTCATCTTCCTCCTTCTTCTCATCTCCTGTCCTAGCTGTGCTGGGTTCATCATGTCGTTTCTTCAACTTATCATTCTTCTCATTCGTTTCCTCATCGCCCTTCTTGCGCTTCTTGTCTTTCTTGTCGTCTTCTTTCTTGTCACGCCCTTTCTTCATGTCGTTCGACATGTCCTTGATCAACGACCTTCGATCTTTGGGAGCTTCATCCTTTTCCTTCGACCTCCCTTTCCTAGCATTTCTGCTGACCCTTTCAGGCTTTGCTCCTTTGGCGTTCTTGTCTTCCTCACTCTCACTGTCAGGCTCTTCTGAATCCAACTCGTTGTCCTCCACCTCTTCCTTTGGCTTCTTTGCTGTCTTGGGATTGGAACCTTTTCGGGATGTGTTCTTTTCGACTTTGTTCTTTCTCTTGGCTTCTTCACCCTCCATGGCTTCTTCAGCTTCATGGTTCGTTTGTTCCTCATGCTTGCCAGTCTGCGTGTCATCGATATTTTTCGTTTTCTTTGCAGGCTTTGCGGCAGCCTTCACTGAGTCTTGTAGTTTCTGGATCTCCTGGACACTCAGCTGCGGGTTGGTCTTCTCATTGGATTCCGCTGATGTCAAAGGAAGACTTAGCCTCGGCTGGTCTTTCGAACTTTGATCGGGTGTCTTCTTTGTTTCTTTTGGACTTGGCTCTTCAGGAGTCACTTCTGCCTCGTGCGTGGGCTTTGGATTGTCCTCCAGTTTTAGAGCCTTGGGCTCAACCAATGTCTTTCTATCAGCCTGCAGCCACAAGAAAATATGAACGAACATGTTTGCTTCAGATTCTCAAATGAAACAATCAATTGTCTTGATATTAGATTTACTGTATTGTCACCACTGTCCATAATGTAGAGTCGAGAAGCTGTACAAATGACAAGATGTGGTTCAGAACTCGGCCGGACGCCGGCCTGCTTGGTGGTGTTTGCAGGAACCAAAGTTGGCCTTTCAGCAGATGAAGCCGGGGACGTCATGGCCTGAGTGAGCGCAGGGGGTTACCCACTGGTTGAGAAACCCAACCCTCTGGCCTGTCTGCAAGGTGGGGTCGTGGTAGCCCCTGCGTCACACTGTGCTAGCCCACCAAAGTCCTCAATGGGGAGTGAAAAACAATCAGTGTTGGGACTTGGGACAGGCTTGAATTGGCATTGCAATAGGTCCTGGTCAAAACCATGCTGGGCAAGTAGGTCCGTCAAGCTGCTTGGCATCGGGAAACTGAGTCTAGCTGTTACTCAAGACCTAGTGAAACGTCAAGTGCTTGATCCCAGTCAGCTGGAAAAAAGACAGGGTTGAGAAACAATCCAGAAGCTGGAGACTTGGTGACATCAGTGCACAATGCCAAGAAAGATCATGAAAGCAAACGGACTGAGCTAAACATTTCAACCGGCCTGTTTCCCCCTTGCGTTTCATGGAAGACACCTTCTCTGGCTTGATCCACTTGGATCCCCCATGTGCAATGATGTAGTCTTTGTCCTGGAGGGTGACATCCATGTGTGCAGCCTCAAGCCAATTGCAAGACCCATGGTTGCTGTTAGAGACATGGTATTGGTGAGTGGGGCAAACACACTGGTTTGTTAGGCGTTTTGAAATTTAGACAAGGGACCAGAAACAGTTTGAATTCTTGGTTGCTTGCCACCTGGTCCAATTGCCCATTACGTCTCTTGCTGTGGACAACATAGAGCGTGGTTCCTGCATCTCTTCCAGAGACCTTTGCCTCAACGACATAGTCATTTAGAAGTTGGTCGACATTCTGTGGCTCAC